TTTTTCCGCGCCCTCAAACAGAATCGTGTAAAATTAATTTTACAAAGTGCTGTATAAAATTGTGCTGCAATTTTTCAACCAAATTGTGCCAGTAGGAATATTGGCCCATATCAGAAAAGTCTAACTCTAACTTAGTCGTTTCTTCTCATACCTCTGCCTAATATATTTGTTTCCACATTACTACTATATTTGGCAAACCAAAATTTTACATACATGAAGGTAGCAGTATGAGGATTATTATTATTATTATTATTATTATTATTATTAGGTAGTAGGTAGTAGGTTGGTAGACAGCAACCACCCAGGGAAGTACTACCGTCCTGCCAGATGACTGTGAAACAAAAACCTGTAACTGTTTTGCATGATGGTAGGATTGCTGGTTTCTTTTTCTGTCTCATAAACACGCTAAGATAACAGGGATATCTTGCTACTCCTACTTACACTTTGGTCACACTTCACAGACACGCACATGCATATATATATATACATACATCTAGGTTTTTCTCCTTTTTCTAAATAGCTCTTGTTCTTTTTTATTTCTTCTATTGTCCATGGGGAAGTGGAAAAGAATCTTTCCTCCGTAAGCCATGCGTGTCGTATGAGGCGACTAAAATGCCGGGAGCAATGGGCTAGTAACCCCTTCTCCTGTATACAATTACTAAAAAAAGAGAAGAGAAAAACTTTATAAACTGGGTTGCTTAAATGTGCGTGGATGTAGTGCGGATGACAAGAAACAGATGATTGCTGATGTTATGAATGAAAAGAATTTGGATGTCCTGGCCCTAAGCGAAACAAAGCTGAAGGGGGTAGGAGAGTTTCAGTGGGGGGAAATAAATGGGATTAAATCTGGAGTATCTGAGAGAGTTAGAGCAAAGGAAGGGGTAGCAGTAATGTTAAATGATCAGTTATGGAAGGAGAAAGAGAATATGAATGTGTAAATTCAAGAATTATGTGGATTAAAGTAAAGGTTGGATGCGAGAAGTGGGTCATAATAAGCGTGTATGCACCTGGAGAAGAGAGGAATGCAGAGGAGAGAGAGAGATTTTGGGAGATGTTAAGTGAATGTATAGGAGCCTTTGAACCAGTAGAGAGTAATTGTGGTAGGGGACTTGAATGCTAAAGTAGGAGAAACTTTTAGAGAGGGTGTGGTAGGTAAGTTTGGGGTGCCAGGTGTAAATGATAATGGGAGCCCTTTGATTGAACTTTGTATAGAAAGGGGTTTAGTTATAGGTAATACATATTTTAAGAAAAAGAGGATAAATAAGTATACACGATATGATGTAGGGCGAAATGACAGTAGTTTGTTGGATTATGTATTGGTAGATAAAAGACTGTTGAGTAGACTTCAGGATGTACATGTTTATAGAGGGGCCACAGATATATCAGATCACTTTCTAGTTGTAGCTACACTGAGAGTAAAAGGTAGATGGGATACAAGAGAATAGAAGCATCAGGGAAGAGGAGGTGAAGGTTTATAAACTAAAAGAGGAGGCAGTTAGGGTAAGATATAAACAGCTATTGGAGGATAGATGGCTAATGAGAGCATAGGCAATGGGGTCGAAGAGGTATGGGGTAGGTTTAAAAATGTAGTGTTAGAGTGTTCAGCAGAAGTTTGTGGTTACAGGAAAGTGGGTGCAGGAGGGAAGAGGAGCGATTGGTGGAATGATGATGTAAAGAGAGTAGTAAGGGAGAAAAGTTAGCATATGAGAAGTTTTTTACAAAGTAGAAGTGATGCAAGGAGGGAAGAGTATATGGAGAAAAAGAGAGAAGTTAAGAGAGTGGTGAAGCAATGTAAAAAGAGAGCAAATGAGAGAGTGGGTGAGATGTTATCAACAAATTTTGTTGAAAATAAGAAAAAGTTTTGGAGTGAGATTAACAAGTTAAGAAAGCCTAGAGAAACAAATGGATTTGTCAGTTAAAAATAGGAGAGGAGAGTTATTAAATGGAGAGTTAGAGGTATTGGGAAGATGGAAGGAATATTTTGAGGAATTGTTTAAATGTTGATGAAGATAGGGAAGCTGTGATTTCGTGTATAGGGCAAGGAGGAATAGCATCTTGTAGGAGTGAGGAAGAGCCAGTTGTGAGTGTGGGGGAAGTTCGTGAGGCAGTAGGTAAAATGAAAGGGGTAAGGCAGCCGGGATTGATGGGATAAAGATAGAAATGTTAAAAGCAGGTGGGATATAGTTTTGGAGTGGTTGGTGCAATTATTTAATAAATGTATGGAAGAGGGTAAGGTACCTAGGGATTGGCAGAGAGCATGCATAGTTCCTTTGTATAAAGGCAAAGGGGATAAAAGAGAGTGCAAAAATTATAGGGGGATAAGTCTGTTGAGTGTACCTGGTAAAGTGTATGGTAGAGTTATAATTGAAAGAATTAAGAGTAAGACGGAGAATAGGATAGCAGATGAACAAGGAGGCTTTAGGAAAGGTAGGGGGTGTGTGGACCAGGTTGTTTACAGTGAAACATATAAGTGAACATATTTAGATAAGGCTAAAAGAGGTCTTTGTGGCATTTATGGATTTGGAAAAGGCGTATGACAGGGTGGATAGGGGGGCAATGTGGCAGATGTTGCAAGTGTATGGTGTAGGAGGTAGGTTACTGAAAGCAGTGAAGAGTTTTACGAGGATAGTGAGGCTCAAGTTAGAGTATGTAGGAAAGAAGGAAATTTTTTCCCAGTAAAAGTAGGCCTTAGACAAGGATGTGTGATGTCACCGTGGTTGTTTAATATATTATAGATGGGGTTGTAAGAGAAGTAAATGCGAGGGTCTTGGCAAGAGGCGTGGAGTTAAAAGATAAAGAATCACACACAAAGTGGAGTTGTCACAGCTGCTCTTTGCTGATGACACTGTGCTCTTGGAGATTCGAAGAGAAGTTGCAGAGATTGGTGGATGAATTTGGAGGGGTGTGCAAAAGAAGAAAAATTAAAGGTGAATACAGGAAAGAGTAAGGTTATGAGGATAACAAAAAGATTAGGTGATGAAAGATTGAATATCAGATTGGAGGGAGAGAGTATGGAGGAGGTGAACGTATTCAGATATTTGGGAGTGGACGTGTCAGCGGATGGGTCTATGAAAGATGAGGTGAATCTAATAGAATTGATGAGGGAAAAAAGAGTGAGTGGTGCACTTAGGAGTCTGTGGAGACAAAGAACTTTGTCCTTGGAGGCAAAGAGGGGAATGTATGAGAGTATAGTTTTACCAACGCTCTTATATGGGGTGTGAAGCGTGGGTGATGAATGTTGCAGCGATGGAGAAGGCTGGAGGCAGTGGAGATGTCATGTCTGAGGGCAATGTGTGGTGTGAATATAATGCAGAGAATTCGTAGTTTGGAAGTTAGGAGGAGGTGCGGGATTACCAAAACTGTTGTCCAGAGGGCTGAGGAAGGGTTGTTGAGGTGGTTTCGGACATGTAGAGAGAATGGAGCGAAACAGAATGACTTCAAGAGTGTATCAGTCTGTAGTGGAAGGAAGGCGGGGTAGGGGTCGGCCTAGGAAGGGTTGGAGGGAGGGGGTAAAGGAGGTTTTGTGTGCGAGGGGCTTGGACTTCCAGCAGGCATGCTGTGAGCGTGTTTGATAGGAGTGAATGGAGACAAATGGTTTTTAATACTTGACGTGCTGTTGGAGTGTGAGCAAAGTAACATTTATGAAGGGATTCAGGGAAACCGGCAGGCCGGACTTGAGTCCTGGAGATGGAAGTACAGTGCCTGCACTCTGAAGGAGGGTGTTAATGTTGCAGTTTAAAAACTGTAGTGTAAAGCACCCTTCTGGCAAGACAGTGATGGAGTGAATGATGGTGAAAGTTTTTCTTTTTTGGGCCACCCTGCCTTGGTGGGAATCGGCCGGTGTGATAATAATAAAAATATTATTATTATTATTATTATTATTATTATTATTATCAAAACTAAGCACTAAAGCCACAAAAGTCATAAAGCCATGAGAAGGAAAGAATGATGCAGGCTTTAATCTGATAAACGAAACACCTCTGCACTATTTGGGTATCTTTATTCTGGAAACATTTTGCCAGCCAGTGGCTTCTTCAATCCATTGTAGAGAACAGCAAAAGATGAGGAGTTTGAAGCGTCAATCCCTCAGCCTGGTGTCAATGTATTCAGTCCATCATTCTTGATAAAAGTGCAGTATATTTGCAGAGATGGAGCTTATGTACTGCAGACGGATGAAGTGGAAGGTGGAGTCACCAGTGAAAAAACCCACTGGTGGAAGTAGGTCGTGAATAGAGGTTAGGCAAATTTTGAAGAATCCCCTGCATCAAGATCCCATGATGGTGCCGTGTCTGACAGAATTTAAATAAATGGTTTAGAACACCAAGAAGTTGATAAATTAGATGCTTGTGCAACATTTTGGTATCTTTATTCTGGAAATGTTTCATTAGCCAGTGGCCTCTTCACTCCATTTATCAACTTCTTGGTTTTCTAAACCATTTATTCAAAAATGGGTTTAAGGTGTCAACTCAACAATTATTACATCAACCATGTTAACCACTACACTATCAACATTAGGAGAACCCAAATATGAGCTTGTACTTAATTCACTCAATGTCATAGACCTTACTTTTGCCCAGGTGCCTTTCTTTATAGGGTTCTTCAACCCAAATTGCATGGTGTAGCATTAGCATGCTTGACTCAGGCCTGTAAGATTGGCATATCAATATCTTCATAAGTCTTCCCACTGCATATTCCACTCTTATAGTTATGTTGCTTTCTAATAGCCTTTCTAAACCTAAATTGGTCCAATTTTAATCAGTTGTAGCAAGTTCTATTTTGGTTAGATAATTTTGTAGTTTGTTTAATATTATTTTTGCCTGTCTTCCATCTGCTTATGTCACTCATATTTCATCTCATTTTACTGCATTAAGAGTGTGTAAGTTCATTGATCTTCATCCATCTTTGTGGGAAATGTGTGTAAAACAGTAATTGCTACAGGGAAACATAACATAATTACTGCAAGCAAGCAAAGAATTGCATTTCCCATTTCTCTGTTGCAGGTTATTGGAAGAGATAATGTGCAGTGCTCCAAGTGAAACTCGTGCCTGGTCTGAAGCTCAAGCAGCACTAAAAGTAAGTCATAAATTTGATACAACCTAAAGCATTTAAATCTGCTCAACATCTGAAGCATACACTCATACTGCTGTACATTCTGTAAAGAGAAGACAATTAGTTCTTATGTTTACACTGGGGATAGGATGATACCAAAACTTCAGCTGATATTGATACCCAATTTTAGGCCAATATTGATATTTTTCCAATATTTTTATTTTTAAAATTATAATGACTTGCACAATGGGTATTAAATAACTTAATTTCTATGAGATATTAACCCTTTCAGGGTTGAGAGGCCCTCTCCTAAACTCGTTCTCAGGGTCGAAAATTTTTCGGAAAAAAAAAATTTCTTATGAAATGATAGAGAATCTTTTTCCGATCATAATGACACCAAAAGTATGAAATTTGATGGAAAACTTACAGAATTATGTTCTCGTGAAGCTAGCGGTCTCGATGATGTTTACGTATTGGCAATTTCGCCCACTTTGAGCCCTATTTTCGGCCAATTTCAGTGTACTAGTCGACAGAAATCATATCTATTTCGCTAGAACTCCATTTTTTCTATCGAATGAGTACAAGAAACCACCCATTTACCGATTTCAAGTATCCAATAAAGTGGTCAGAAATTGGCAATTTTTCCAATTTCACACAAATTTCAGAAGATGCTGGTTTCCAAATAGGGTTCAGAATAAGCAAGACAGACATTCCTGGCACTAAAGTAACATTTTCTCTGTTCATTAGTCACGTCCCTAGGCCCCCCTTACATCTCTTTTGCTTTCCACTTTGAATTTTTATTCTCACAAAAAATAGAAGATTTACTGTTATGCAGACTACTGCATTAGTGTAGAAATGGTATAAATAATATCAGTGCACTTGTGAAAGAATACTAGACTCACCAGTTGACATGTATTGGACGCTTGGCATGATTTGTTTACTTTTGAAATTTGGTAAAAATCGAACATTTCTGCTATTTTGAGCTCAATTTCAAGGTACTTTTCATTATGAAACCAATCAAAATCATCTCAATTTCTGTAATATGTCTTCCATTCTATAAAATGAGACCAGGAAAACTAGAATACAACCTTAAATACCATACGAAAATATACTGCAAAGTCGCTGTTTTAAACCAAAAACACGGTTGGAGTTTTTTTTTTCTCATTATGCACTGTGTGTTGCAGGATTTTTTTTATACTGTGCACACTAACCACATAGACCCATTCTTTCATATGTAGGCCTACCAGCTTTCTCTCACTAGATTTGAAGGCACTAGAATTTAGGCGTTCTAGTACGTCAATAACCCTTGTGCGTAAGCCATACCAGTACGTCAGAAACCCTGAAAGGGTTAATGTCATAACTCAGTGCCTGACCTGTTGTGTTAGTTCCTGGTTGTCAAAGGCACTAGTTGATAGAGAGAGAGAGAGAGAGAGAGAGAGAGAGGAGAGAGAGAAGAGAGAGAAGAGTGTGTGTGTGTGTGTGTGTGTGTGTGTGTGTATGTGTGTGTGTGTGTGTGTACTCACCTATTTGTACTCACCTATTGTGGTTGCAGGGGTCGAGTCCTAGCTCCTGGCCCCGCCTCTTCACCGGTTGCTACTAGGCCCTCTCTCTCCCCGCTCCATGAGCTTTATCAAACCTCGTCTTAAAACTGTGTATGGTTCCTGCCTCCACTACGTCATTTTCTAGGCTATTCCACTGCCTTACAACTCTATGACTGAAGAAAATACTTCCTACTATCTCTCTGACTCATTTGTGTCTTCAACTTCCAATTGTGGCCTCTTGTTTCTGTGTCCCCTCCCTGGAACATCCTGTCTTTGTCCGTTTGTGTGGTGTGTGTGTGTGTGTGTGTGTGTGTGTGTGTGTGTGTGTGTGTGTGTGTGTGTGCTCACCTATTTGTACTCACCTATTTGTGGTTGCAGGGGTCGAGTATGTGTGTGTGTGTGTGTTACTCACCTATTTGTGGTTGCAGGGGTCGAGTCATAGCTCCTGGCCCCACCTCTTCACTGATTGCTACTAGGTCCTCTCTCTCCCTGCTCCATGAGCTTTATCATACCTCGCCTTAAAACTATGTATGGTTCCCGCCTCCACTACATCACTTTCTAGACTATTCCACTTCCTGACCTCTTGACTGAGAAAACTTCCAAACGTCCCTGTGACTCGTCTATTTTTAAGATTGTGACCCCTTGTCCCTGTGCCCCCTCTCTGGAACACCTATCTCTGTCCACCTTGTTTTTCCCTGCAATCTTGTTTTCATTATCAGTCCCCCCTGGCCCTTCTGCCTCCATGTCTCATCCGTCTCCCTAAACCTTTTCCCTTTGTACGACATTCCCCCTACCGGGGATAGTTTTTGGCAAACCTTTGACTTTGGTTTTTGGGTTGTGTGTGTGTGTTGTGTGAGTACTCACCAAATTGTGGTTGCGGGGTCGAGACTCACTCCTGGCCTGCGTATTCCCTCATCTTAAAGCTATGTATGGTTTTCCTCCCCATTTTTATTTTTATTATTACAACAAGGGGAAGCGCAAACCCCGGGAGGTTTAAAACAGCCCTGGGGGGGGGGGGTTTGGGGAAGGGCATTCAGGGTTTAAATTTGGGGGGAACGGGAGCACAGACCAATTCCCTAAACAAGACCCCCTCACCAACATCAAGGAACCTTCCTTGGGGGGTCCTGCCTCCCTACCTCACTTGCTGGGCTATTCACTTCCGACTACTCTATGAGAAGCAAACTTCCAAACATCCTGTGACCATCTGGGTCTTAAACTCCAAATTTGTGACCCTTTTTTTCGTGTTCCCCTCTGAACATCCTGTATGTGTGTGTGTGTGGTGTGGTGTTGTGTTGAAAAATTTTCGGTCCTGGGACCTTGATCACTTCTGACATACAGAGGTTAAAAGAATTGTATAGGCAAAGAGTGAGGTGGGTGACACGGGTACCTGAAGAATGCCAAATTGGGATGAGGACGGGTAACAAAGAGATCATGTGACTCCGGTTTTTGCGGGGTAGGGGGGTGCTTTACCTGCTTGATAGATGTATACTATTTTTTAGAAATTTGTTTTTCCAATTTTGTTTTATTGTGTCAATCACAGTTGCAAGGGTTCTAGACACCGTTTGGGTCCCCCCCAAGGTCTTGTTTGATGAGAATGAGTTGTGCCTCATCCATTTATCAAATGCCCGTGGATCCTATGGAAACCAGCAACCTAAATCCCTGTTACTGGCACTTCGATGCTCATTTAGGTGGACCACAAGATCTCTGCCTGTTTCGCCTACACTGGGGATGGTGTAGACGCCTGCTGTGGAAATTAGAGGTGTGGGGCTGCATTTCATAGTGAGGTCTTTGTTAGATAATGTGTTTATGGTGGAAACATTCATGTTACTCTTGCAAGTGCCGGCGAGTATTCGGGGCGACATCCCCACATGGGAACACTATGAACTGCTTAGAGGGCTGTTCCATGGGCAGTTTGTTGAGGATAGCTTGTGCTTTGAGTCTTTAATCTTGGATGAAGAAAGATGGAAACTGCATCACTCACACCTCACTCTCCACCTATATATAATGTCTTTCAACCTCTGTATGTTATAAGTGATCATGGTCCCAGAACTGAAACGTTTTTTAATAAATATGTCCTAGTGTTTGCTTATGTGTTTTTCTAGACCAACAGGTACACAAAAATAGTTACATAAATTATTATACATAGCAGGATAATTATCATACATACTAGGATAATCCAAAAAAGTCAAACAAGGTAAGGAGGACAGTGTATGCTAAGAAGTATGTGAGCCAGGGGTCCTAACAACTCCAGACTTCCCTAATTCTAGGTGATAATATCTGTGGTTTGAATAAAAGCTGATTCCAGGCATTTTCTTCTATTTCTTTCTTTTTTTTGATTAACCTTGCTCATTCTGGGCCATTTCATGTGGTTCAAAACTACGTTATATTGTAAGACAGGCATTGTTGATGTTTTTCATGTGGCAAGCATTACTGCATTTGTATATTAATATCTTAGTCTGTATCTTAGGTTATACCATGAGTGTCTATGGAAAAATACCTTTTTTCACATCCCCATCTAGGTTGTTAATCAAGAGCGTCAGCACTTGTGTCAATATCTTGAACCATTACAACCATGCTATGTATAATTCACATCAGCTTTCATATTCTTATCCTTAATGTCAAAGCCTTTCTTATGATTATTTATTACTGCTACAAATTTTACATGTTATTGCTTTGTATTGTTAACCTATTACCTTTATATCACTATTGCTGATTTATCATTTCGATAGAGAATTATCACTTACAATTATTATGGCTGTTAATACTCATTACTTTTAGATGCACAAATTGTATTAAACTCATAATATGTAGTTTCACATCAGCTATAAAATTGTATTGTATTAAGTAGTCTTGATCTTCGTATATTTCTGCCCAAAATGCTCTGCATAAATAAAGGCATATCAAAAAACTGTCTTGATTAATCTTGTAACATTTACATACTTTTTAATACAGTACTTAATTATTATTATTCATTATGATTATACTCATCAGAATGTAAAGCCATTCTTGTAATGGTTGTCCTGTAACACATCCTTTATCTTTACTTCAGGAATGTGAATATGAAGCACGATCCTCAGGAAACCTTTTAAGTAATCAGAGTGTTTTCATTGGCATTGACTTCTTTGTTGAGTTAATTCCTTCAAGGTAAGCATTCTATTGTTTTCAGTAAAAATAAGCTGTCTTGTCAGAAGTGTGCTGACATCACAATTCAAATGGCCTTCTATGTGCAACATCCCACCCTCCCTTCAAAGTGCAAACACTGCCCTTCCCACCTCCGGAACTCAGGTCCAGCTGACTGGTTTTCCTGAATCTGTTCACAAATGTTACCTTGCTCACACTCCAAAAGCACATCCATTAAAAAACCACTTGTCTCCATTCACTCCTGTCTACTACACTCACATGAGCCTGCTGGATGCTCAAGCCCATAAAATTCAAAGCCTTCTTTACTCCCCTCCTTTCATCTGTTCCTGGGAAGATCCCTATCCCTTCTACCTATTACACTGAGGTAATGATTAAGTATTTGTTCTAATTTTTTTGTTGCTTCCTGTTAAAATTGGGTTAACCTAACTCTACCTAAAATTATTTGTGTATATAAGATATTAAAGAGCAGAGCTTTATAGAGCTAGTGTTGTGCTCAATGCCAATGTCACTTTTTGCACATTCTATCATTTGTTTAGAAGTTTATGTTTTTCTTAGGAGGACAGGTTGACATTTCAATTAGTAAGAACAATATGGGACTCTCAGTTCACATTTCATTAAACAAGAGGCATCAGCATGTATTGCTAACACATTGCTGCCCAGTTAGTGTAACTAGGATTGGTTTCTTTGGCAATAGAACTTAAGAATATGGTAGAAATAAAAAAACATAGTAATAATAATAATAATGCTGCTTCAGCTCAAGTCTCCTAGCCTCCCTTCCAACCAGAGAGTCACCTCTAACCTTCCCCAGTATGTATAGAAATTCTGGTGTAGCCCCTGAAATTTTATTAAAGTCTTCCTAAAAGAAGTTAGAGTTCCTAACTGTGTCTAACTTGTTTATTCATAGTTGGTTTGCTGTGACTCAACTGCATGTCCATGACATTAAGAAAAATATATCTGTGGATGTCTTTGCTCCGATGGTACCTGTGCCAAGTAGTGATATTATTCAGCCTTCTCAACCTAATGAACCAGTTCTTATAATGGTAAGGATATTATTTAAAAGGTTTCATTACACATTTGAGATTTTAAGGTTTTGAATAACAATGCATCAAGTAAAAAATATACTACAACACTGAAGGAAATGGAGAGCCAAAATGCTGTATAGTGTATGTGTACCACATAAATATATATGTGCCCTAGAAAACTAATTATAGGTTTAACCCTTAAACGGTGTATATACATTCTCTCGCGTAGCTCCCCAAATGTGTATATACATTTCATTTGTCATTTATTCAACATTAGCATGATAGGCCTGAGTCGCCTAGACATGAGAGAATGGGTGTGCTCACTCAGTGTGTGGCATATGAAAAAAATTGGGGATGCCTGGGTACCACATGCTCTTTTTTTCCTATAAAAAAAAAAAAGGATTTTTTTTTCTCAAAATATTCGGGGTGCTATGCAGGTGAACGTATATATATGTTTGGACTGTTTAATGGCTAGTAATATAACCTATGTATTGGACTGTATATTTATATACAATATGTAGTTATGAAATTCTTTTCTTGTCAAACAGCAAAGGCATTTTCAGTTCTATCAGTCTTTCTTGGCTCTGGAAGCCAATTTGTAACATTCTTTTAGTATTTTTTTTTTTTAACATGCTGGTTATCTCCCACCTAGGCAGGCTGACCCCAAAAAAAAGAAACACTGTCACCATCATTCACACTCATTTCTTTGCAGAAGTGTGCAGATATGAGTTTAGATATCACTGAACAGCATATATCCCAAACCCCTCCTGTAAAGTGCAGGCATCGTACTTCCAACCTCCAGGACTCAACTCCGGCTAACCAGCTTCCCTGAATCCCTTCACAAAATATTAACCTGCTCACACTCCAACAGATTGTCAGGTCCCAAAAACCATTTGTCTCCATTCACTCCTGTCTAACATGCTCACACATGCCTACTGCATGTCCAAGCCTCTGTTATACCTGGAGATGGTTTCAGGGATCAACGCTCCCACAGCCCGGTCTGTGACCAGGTCTCATGGTGGATCAGGGACTGATCAACCAGGCTGTTACTGTTGGCCGCACGCAACCTGACGTATGAACCACAGCCCAGCTGGTTAGGTACTGACTTTAGGTGCCTATCCAGCACCTTCTTAAAGACAGCCAAGGGTCTATTGGTAATCCCTCTTATGTATGCTGGGAGGCAGTTGAACAGTCTAGGGCCCCTTCACGCTTACTGTGTTGTCTCCTATCGTGCTAGTGGCACCCCTACTTTTCATTGGGAAGGATGTTGCATTGTCTGCCGAGTCTTTTGGTTTCATAGGGAGTGATTTTCACGTGCAAGTTTGGTACCAATCCCTCTAGGATTTTCCAGGTGTATATAATCATGTATCTCTCCCACCTACATTCTAGGGAGTACAGTTTGAGGAACTTCAAGTGTTCCCAGTAACTGAGGTGTTTTATTGCAGTTATGTGTGGTTGGAATTTGTTTTGTACTCTGATGTAGTTTTAATTTCCTCTCGTTTTCCATATTGGAGTAATTGAAATTTCTCATCATTGAACTTCATATTGTTTCTGCAGCCCATTTAAAGATTTGGTTGATGTCCGCCTGGAGTCTTGCAGTGTCTTCAATGGAGGACACTGTCATGCAAATTCGGGTGTCATCTGCAAAGGAAGACATGGTGCTGTGGCTTACATCCCTGTCTGTGTCAGATATGAGGATGAGGAACAGGATGGGAGCGAGTACTGCCTTGTGGAACAGAGCTTTTCACTGTAGCCGCCTCAGACTTTACTCTGTTTACTACTACTTTTTGTGTTCTATTTGCTAGGAAATTATAGATCCATCTACCAACTTTTCCTGTTATTCCTTTATCATGCATTTTGTGCTCTGTTACACCATGGTCACATTTGTCAAAGGCTTTTGCAAAGTCTGTGTATACTACATCTGCATTTAGTTTATCTTCTAGAGCATCCAGGACCTTGCCATAGTGGTCCAGTAGTTGGGACAGGCAGGAGCGACCTGCTCTAAACCCATGATGCCCTGGGTTGTGTAACTGATGAGTATCTAGACGGGTGGCGATCTTACTTTTTAGAACCCTTTCAAAGATTTTTATGATATGGGATGTTAGCGCGATAGGTCTGTAGTTCTTTGCTATTGCTTTACTGCCCCCTTTGTGGAGTGGGGCAATGTCTGTTTTTTTTAGTGTGTATGGGATGACCCCTGTGTCCATGCTTACTCTCCATAGGATGTTAAAAGCACATGATAGGGGCTTTTTGCAGTTCTTGATCAACACGGAGTTCCATGAGTCTGGGCCTGGGGCAGATTACATGGACATGTCATTTATTGCCTTTTTGAAGTCATTTGGTGTCAGGATAATATCAGTCTACCAAATTCTGTGTCCCTCTAATAAAAAATTCATTTAGGTCATTGACTCTAAGTCTGGTTAGCAGCTAACTAAAACCCGAGTCATATTGGGACTTGAGAAGCTCACTCATTTCCTTGCTGTCATCTGTGTAGGACCCATCTTGTCTAAGTAGGAGACCAATACTGGATGTTGTTCTCGACTTTAATTTGGCATAAGAAAAAAACTCTTACCCCCTCCCTTTATCCTTTCCTAGGATGACCCTTACCCCTCTTTCCCTCCACTACAGATTTATGCAACCTCCAAGTCATCCTGTTTTGCTCCATCCTCTCTAAATGACCAAACCATCTCAACAACCCCTAACATATTGCTGGATATTTCAGTTTTAGCCTAATATATAAGTTTTTTAGTATTTCAGCATTCATATTTTGGAGTTTGTTTGTACAGTACTCTAGCATATGATGTTATGATTACAATGTTACAATGTTTTGATTACAATTTTTTGCATATACATGTACAGTAATTGCCTCCAGATCTCTCTCTCTCTCTTTGTCTTATTCCATTCAATATTTTATCACTGTATATTATTCATGTAGGTAATTATTGCTATATTTCCTTAACACTAAATGGCACTTATCTACCATAAATTCTATTGCCCATCTGCCAGGTGTTTAATTTATTTGCATCTTCTTGGATATATATAAAAATTAATATTTTCTTATATTTCTCTAGGTATCAGAGTCCTGGTGGAATACTGTGCAGGGTGCAGACAGCTCATATGGAAATGGCCTCACTGCCTCCATACTCTCCCTCCAGGAATCATATCGCAGTTTTCTAAATGAAGATGGCTCTCCATGAGACGTTAAAAAATTCTCAAAATATTTTGATGTGATTGCAGTCTGTAAATATAATAAGTTTGTAATAATGTTAGAACTGATACATAAGTTAACATGAGAGCTATTTGTTTACATAAAACCATGAAAAATAATATTTTTATTAGGAGTGGTGTTGAATTAAAATACAGTGCAAACAATGAAATATGACACAAGTTACTTTTTTCTTATGTATGTATATATATATATATATATATATATATATATATATATATATATATATATATATATATATATATATATATATATTATATATATATATATATATATATATATAATATATATATATATATATTATATATAATATATTATATATATATATATATATATATAATATATATATATATATATATATATATAATATATATAATATATATATATATATATATATATATATATATATATATATATATATATATATATATATATACATGTATATATGAAGGCATAAGTAGCAAAAGAATTGGCCACTATCTTCCATGGAGTAAGTAAATGAGTTAAACTTTTGCTTCCATAATAGAATGGCAGTAGCCTATCACTTTAGCCTTCAGTTTTGTATATTTTGTTCTTACAACTATAGCTTCCATTGCATTCTCATGTCCAAAACATCATAAGGTATTCATTGTTGCTAGCTCTTATGATTTCACACCTTGCTTTGGTTTTTTTCCCTGCCACCATACATCCTCAATATAGTTTTTTAATGATTATTTCCTCTGTTGCTTTTGTAAATTTAGTAATTCTCTCTTATTCATGCTATTAAGCATTAATATTAAGAACTTGAATTTTAGATTTGTTTCATAATTTGTCAATTTTTACATTCATATATTAGGGTTGAAAATAATGTACTATTATGCAGCCCTTTCTTGAGCTGCATAGTAACATTCCTTTCTTTTGTAATCCTTTTCTTGGACCAGTTGCCCTTCTTCCTTGTGTTACACTGGAATAAATTCTGCAAAATAAAAGGATACAAGTGTAACTGGAATAAATTCTGTCAAGGCCTGCAAGACTGCAAGGGTAACAGTAAGAGTGACCTACATGCAAACAGCTTATAGAGTTACCCAGCAAACACAGAATTGGTCTATATACACTGAATAAGGATCACAAACCTGCACATACTATTTTACTTGAGTTAGCATGGATTGTGGTATGTGAGGGAGAGCAAAAAAGCTATATGGTATTTGCAATATATAACAAATTGTTGACTAAAAAATGTGAATTGTAACCTATGTGATAATTACCGTACAAGCAGTTCATGTCTTGATAATGAGATAGATTTGTGGTGGAGAATATATTTAAAACAACTAATGCCAGAAAGTTGTCATATATAATAATGCTAGCTCAGTATTGCATAATTAATACTATGACTTGTTTTCACTTTTTCCTATTTCTATTTGTACATGAAAATTACTCCCTATGAAAGCAAAAGACTCGGCAGGAGATGCAACATCCCCCATTGAAAAGCAGAGGCGCCATGAGTACTCTAAGAGACAACACAAGTGTCAGGGGCCCAAGACTATTCAGCTGTCTCCCAGCATACATAAGGGGGATTACCAATAGATTCCTAGCTGTCTTCAAGAAGGTGCTGGACAGGCATCTAATGTCAGTACCTGTTCAGCTGGGCTGTGGTTCATATGTCTGGTTGCATACAGCCAGCAGTAACAGCCTGGTTGATCAGGCCCTGATTCGCCTCAAGGTCTGGTCACAGACCAGGCCACAGAAGCATTGACCCCCAAAACCCTCTCCAGATATACTCCAGGTATATGTTTTGCAATTTTTAGGAAGGTCTTTCATATTTTTTCATGAGGAACTCTTAGATAAATGTAATTGACTCATCCATTTTGTTTTTGAAAGATTTCTGTTTGCTTTATTATTTTCATTGATTTGATATCCAGTACTTTAGGTTCCCAATTTAAAATGTTCCTTCCTTATGATTGGGGTGCTTAGGAACTAATTAATGACGAACATTGATCTGCAGTTTCAGTCATTGCATATATTCAGACAGATAATATTTTCAATGAATAGTTTTTCTCGTCTATTTTTTTACCAGATGCAGTCATATTTGTTTATGTTCATTTTATGCATGTGTGGAGAGTTCATGTTTGTTGGGTAGAGATTGATAAATAACTGTAGATTCAGTAATTATAATTTTGTTAAACCTAAATTATATTTATTATTTTTCCTCTGTAATTTTTCACTATTGCACTGATATTTTATATATGTTCATGTTATTCATATGTGTTGGGGTCATATTTGTTTGGAAAAGATAATCAAAAACTGCAGATATAAAAAAATATGTTTGTTTGGAGTGCATGATGTAGGAAGTAGAGTACACTGGGTGTAATATGGGGCATAGTGCATTGTAAGATGAAGTACAGTGTGGGTGTGGTTGAGACATAATACCTTCTGGGTAGTGGAGTACAGTGTAGGTCTTCTGTGGGAATACAGCACATTGTGGGGATGGTGTTGAAAGCGCAGTATATAATAGGTGGAAGAGTAGAGTATGGGGGTGGTGAAACATGGGTAGAGTATGGTGTTTGAGTGAAGTACAGCAAGGGGTAGAATATGGTGTAGGACTAGAATACAGGGGGTTGGGGACAAATGTACAATGTTGTGTCATATTTGATAGTAAAGAGGGAGGAAGCATAGCATACCAAAAAGACACATTTAATAAACAGGATATATTTTAATCCAATACAGAAGGTGGAAAACAGAGTATATACAGTGGGTTAGATCAGTTGCTGCACAGGCTAGAGGGCAGAGCTAGATGATAGTTGTGATCTGCTTAGGTAGGATGTTCCTGGGAAGTATTTCCAATATCATAAAACTGCCTGCATTTTGAGTGATGGTGTTGGTAGTAAAGATGAGAGCAGATGCCAAATAGTATCTTGCAGCAAAGTGGTAGTCAACCAATACATTGTGCATGGTCTGAGCTGTTCAAGTTCCCAAAGGATCGCATGTTAGACAATGAAGTCAACAAGATCATTAAAGGAAACCTTGCTACAGCCCCTTGCCCAGCTGAGAGAGAACAGTCTGTCGCACCCAGGATACACCTGTCAGCCACCTTGATGGGATCACATTATATTCCTCGAACAATAGTACTCTGCTGGTGTGGGACTATATTTGTGCATCTACCTTGGCCTATGCATACATCCCATTTAGTGCTGCTGATCACAGGAAAAATAACAATCTCATCAAGTACAGTATAGGGACTTGGCCCACTAGTACCATTTTGTCCCAGAAGGATTAGAGGCCCTTGCCCCCTGGGAAAAAGATGCCATGGGTTTCCTTAAAGAATTGGGTTCCAGGCTCATTGATACCACCATAGCCCCAAGGGCTGCTATCTTTTTCATCTAGTGCCTTAGTGTGGTGATCCAGAGAGGAAATACCTGCTGCATTATGGGTTCTCAGCTGGTGTCTTAAGATCAAAGAGCTCCACAACTTAAATACTATACAATTCTGCATTCATGAAAATTCCTCCACATAACTGTGCTCATTAATAAGTAAAAACATATTACCATGTATGTATCATTCAGGTAGAAATTGTAAAAATATTCGTGTATATATACAGTGTATATGGGGGTAGCAGAAAAAGAAAATACTCAAAACAGCTCCAGAAAGAAACTTCTGGATTTTCCCTGAAGTATATTTATTATCTCTTCTGAAGCTGAGGGTCCTCAATTAGCACTAGAGGTAAGTGGACTTCTTCAACCCTAGGAAATTTTAGACTGGCCTTGGTGACATGCAGGCATCTCACTCTTCATTAAGGTACTTCCCTAAATTATTATTATTATTATAATCAAAAAGAAGTGCTAAGCCACAAGGGCTATACAGCGCTGCAGGGCAGGAAGGAAGCGAGGGCATCAGGTGGCAAAAGGGAGATGGATGAGTAATAGGTTACGGATAACAGCAGGGCAGTGGATGGTGAAAGGGTAAAGGGCAGCAAGAGACTGAGCTAGAAAGGGCTGAGGGGAGTGCAAAAGGTATCATCATCAGAGCTTGTGGAGTAAATCAGTCGTTATCAAGAAGTCAATGAGAGAGTCAGGATTGAAGGAGGGTCCATCAGCAAGAAGGGAAGGTAAAGAGAGAGTAGTAGAATGAAGACGACGTTGGAGGTAAATTCTGCGTGCTCGTTGATAGAGAGGGCAGTCTAACAGAATGTGGCTAATCGATACTGGAACTTGACACTGCTCACAGAGAGGAACAGGGTGCCTCTCCATGAGATACCCATGAGTAAGACGAGTGTGGCCAATGCGAAGGCGGGAGAGAGTGGTCTCCCAACCTCGGCACTGATGACAAGAAGACGACCAGTAACCTATACTCAGTTTAATAGAATGAAGTTTGTTACCGAGCAGAGTTGACCAACGTTGTTGCCAACGGGTGTGAAGGTGGGTAGCTATTGCAGCAAAATAGTCCAGAAATGGAACACCTCTATAGGAAATTGTAAGTCATGTACTGGTGACCGCGCAGCAGTGTCTGCCTGTACATTGCCCTGTACGTCGACATGACCAGGGACCCAACAAAAAACAATATCTTTATGCTTGGTAGAGATATGGTGTAGCCAAAGTTGGATACGGAGAACTAGGGGGTGAGATGTATCAAATTTTCGTATAGCCTGTAGAGCACTAAGGGAGTCTGAGACTACCACAAATGATGAAACAGGCATAGATGCGATACGAATAAGTGCTGTAAGAATGGCATACAATTCAGCAGTAAAAATGCTAGCCGAAGATAGTAAATGCCCCCGCACGACGGTGTCCGGAAACACTGCTGCGAATCCGACGCCATCTGAAGACTTAGAGCCATTTGTGTACACAGCGATGGCATGAGAATGAGAGTGGAAGTGATCAAGAAAAAGAGAGCGGGAAGCCACTGTAGGCAGTTGGGCTTTCGAGCAAGGGAGTGAGAAAGAACAGACCCGAACAGCTGGAACTTCCCAGAGGGGTAGGGAGAAGTGAGATGCTACATGAACATATAAAGGTGGTAACTGAAGGGAAGACAAGAGCAAATGTAGGCGAAGAGAAAAGGGATGGAGCAAACACGGGCGGCGAACAAATAAAGAATGTCTACTAATATCGGTGACCATTCTATAAATGGAAGGACTGTGGAGATCGTGAGAGCGTACATAGTAGCGAAGGCAATGGGCATCACAGCGATCAGACAAGGATGGAACATTCATTTCTGC